TTTTTTTAAAATTATTTCTTTGCTTTTCATGCCAGCCTACAACCTACTTCCACATGGTCTCCAAGTAATAACCTACATCTAATCCAGGGTGTGACTTAATCAACTGCATCAGATTAATTCCAAAAGCAACAATTGAATCTTGATAGAAATCAGTGCACTTAAGACTACCTGAACTGATGTAGAAAAAAACCTAAAGTAAGGTGCTGATTAGTGCTGGCATGAGACATCACCAAGAAATTTAAGGGCTGTAGGCTAGACTGGGAATTTAAAAAAAAAATCTGAGAAGAAAGCAATGATGAATGTCTGCATGAAATCTGTAGGAGCCACACACAATTCAAAGGAGATTTTTCATTCAACTGCATGCTTATCGAGATAGAATAGGACTTTTATACCAGATAAAATTACTAAAGAATGTAAATTCAGTAAATACTGCTTTCTGTGGCATTTCAGTCTGAGGACATCTTTTAAAAATATGAGCATGTACCTTTTCTTGTCTCTGCAGAAGAGACCTTGTTTGTATTCTCATAGTACAGCCAAGGCAGGCAGGTTTGCAGCAAACCAGTTTATTTTTAGATTCTGCCTTGCCATTTATATCCTGCAAAATTATTCACCAGCCTCAGTTGACAGGCTATTTATTTGTATAAATACGTCAGAGCAGGGCTTTCCTCCCTCCCCAGTTTTGATCTTTCATGTGCAGCATAAGGCAGATGGGAATTAATTTTAGATTACAAGTGAAGAATTTTCAGCTGGAAACCAATTACTCTCTTGCTGTTCATTCATATTCTACAACCAACACATTCCTGCTTCCTGATGCTCTATAATATTTATTATACAAAGCTGGTACCGGAGGGGACTGCAAAATGACAACAGAGCTTAGCTGTGACTCCTAGCTAGTTATCAGTGGAGATAGATTGACAGCGATAATGTATAGTTCAAGGAAATACTACACTGCTCAAAAAAATAAAGGGAACACTTAAACAACACAATGTAACTCCAAGTCAATCACACTTCTGTGAAATCAAACTGTCCACTTAGGTAGCAATACTGATTGACAATCAATTTCACATGCTGTTGTGCAAATGGAAGAGACAAGATGTGGAAAGCATAGGCAGTTAGCAAGACATTCCCAATAAAGGAGTAGTTCTGCAGGTGGTGACCACAGACCACTTCTCAGGTCCTATGTTTTCTGGCTGATGGTTTGGTCACTTTTGAATGCTGGCGGTGCTGTCACTCTAGTGGTAGCATGAGACGGAGTCTACAACCCACACAAGTGGCTCAGGTAGTGCAGCTCATCCAGGATGGCACTTCAATGCGAGCTGTGGCAAGAAGGTTTGCTGTGTCTGTCAGTGTAGTGTCCAGAGCATGGAGGCGCTACCAGGAGACAGGCCAGTACATCAGGAGACGAGGAGGAAGCCGTAGGAGGGCAACAACCCAGTATCAGGACCGCTACCTCCGCCTTTATGAAAGGAGGGACAGGAGCAGCACTGCCAGAGCCCTGCAAAAGGACATTTGGCATTTGCCATAGAACACCAAGATTGGCAAATTTGCCACTGGTGCCCTGTGCTCTTCACAGATGAAAGCAGGTTCACACTGAGCACGTGACAGATGTGACAGGGTCTGGGGACGCCATAGAGAATGTTTTGCTGCCTGCAACATCCTCCAGTATGACCGGTTTGGCAGTGGGTCAGTAATGGTGTGGGGTGGCATTTCTTTAGGGGGCCACACAGCCCTCCGTGTGCTCGCCAGAGGTAGCCTGACTGACATTAGGTACTGAGGTGAGATCCTCAGACCCCTTGTGAGACCATATGCTGGTGCAGTTGGCTCTGGGTTCCTCCTAATGCAAGACAATGCTAGACCTCATGTGGCTTGAGTGTGTCAGCAGTTCCTGCAAGACGAAGGCATTGATGCTATGGACTGGCCTGCCCGTTCCCCAGACCTGAATCCAATTGAGCACATCTGGGACATCATGTCTCACTCCATTCACCAACGCCACATTGCACCACAGACTGTCCAGGAGTTGGGAGAGTCCAGGTGAGAGAGGAGATCCCTCAGGAGACCATCCGCCACCTCATCAGGAGCATGCCCAGGCATTGTAGGGAGGTCATACAGGCACGTGGAGGCCACACATACAACTGAGCCTCATTTTGACTTGTTTTAAGGACATTACATCAAAGTTGGCTCAGCCTGTAGTGTTTTTTTCCACTTTAATTTTGAGTGTAACTCCAAATCCAGACCCCCATGGGTTGCTAAATTTGATTTCCATTGATAATTTTTGTGTGATTTTGTTGTCAGCACATTCAACTGTGTAATGAACAAAGTATTTAATAAGAATATTTCATTCATTCAGATCTAGGATGTCTTATTTTTGTGTTCCCTTTATTGTTTTGAGCAGTGTATTTTCAAACCATTCCTTTGAAGGATACATTGAATTTATGGTCATTTCCACACCATCTTCATCTTGAGTCTGAGATGAGTTGCTTATTGTTTATTGAGGGAAAGTCTTCACAATTGAGACTCCATTTTGATTCCAGCCTGGCACAAAGACATGGCGAAGCAAGAGCCAGTTTAAAGCCTGCTTTGAGATCAACTCTCCCTTCCATCCCCAAGATTCTGTGCCTCCCTTCAGCTTCTTTAACTGATGAAGGAACAGAAAATTACCAAACAGTCATGGGGGGGGGGAGTGGTGGATGGGGGGTCAGGGAATATCAACTTATGGATGCCTTCCCTGAGACTGATATTACCTCTACCCATAGACCTTTTTTTTTTCTCATCTCATTGCTGCTTTCCCCTTTATTGCGTTGTCCTGATCCTCTGTGATTGCTGGAGAGCATGGCCACTACTTCCAACGTCAATCCTTGGATAGACCTACTTGACTTGGGTCTAACTTGCTTCTCTTAATTGGAGCCAGTCACTGTATTTCTTGGTAGAAAACCAATATCCAAGCTTGGTGGGGAGTGAAGCAGGAGCAAAAGGAGATTCCTTTATTCCTTGACACACACACACACCCCAATAGCAGCAGCAGCAACCATGTAAGGCAGGGATGGCAAACTCAAGGCCCATGAGTCGGATCCAGCCCGTGGGGTGCTTAAATCTGGGCCACGGGGCCGGCTTGGAAATAGCAAAGGATGGGCCTGTGGTGCCTCTGGCAGCCAAAAGGGGCCACAGGGGGGCACGTGCAGTCCCCCACACCTTGTTTTTAGCCTGGATGGCTTCCTGCTGCATCATGCCCCATTTTGGTCAGCAAAGTGCTGCAGGCCGTCTCGGCCAAAAATGGGTGCAGGGAGCCGTGTGCAATGTTAATTTTATCTAATATGCAAGTATTGTACTTGTAAGGGCCACCAAGTCACAGTTAGCAACCATTCTATACCTTTGACCCAGTATCATCAAATACCAATGAGAGTGAAATACTCAAATGTTTTTGTTTTCTAAAATGACAATTTAAACGGTCGGATTTGATTCCCAATACTTCTTTAGAAAACCTTGTGAATACTTTTATGGACTTGGCATTGGTTTGATGCAATATATTCTAAGTAGGAAACAATGAAGAAATGTTTGTTAGCACAGCTAATCACAGTATCCATCTTGAACTCATCACACATATTCTGCATCTTGTTCAGAAGAGGAAAATAAAGGTCATGAGGAGGTCATGGCTAGCTGTCATGCGTGCATGCCCTTCTGCACATTCAGAATCTGCTGAAGAACAGCAGGGAATATACAGAACAGCTAAAAATAGCAATTGCTTCCTACAGCATGGGATTGTTATGCTTTGTTTTGCTCATGTCCTTTACTATGAATAAATGTTCCCTGCAGCTTAGGACCCAAAAAGGTTTTGAAAAACACAAACTACTGAAAAAGAAATCTGGACCTTATAAACTAGGGAGATATTATATCTTTATTGTTTTGTCAAAAATAGCTTGTACCCATAATGAACTTTTTTGGTTATGGCCATAATAAATAACTCTCTGTTCAAATGTGCAACCCAACAGGATAAAGTCCAATCAATCTGCCTGCAAAGCATGTTTTACTGCTATGGAAAAATTCAGGGAATTGCTAACTAGCAGGTAATTAATCTATATACTATGCTTGAGTCACAAGTTGCAAAGGACCCTTGCTCATGACCTAACTTTAGAAAGATTAATAGTTGGGGAGTTGGGTTGGGAGGTCAGAAGTCTTAGGTGACACAATGGAGAGAGGTCAGGGATGGAGAAACAGTGAACAGAGCAATTATATAAGGAAAGAGCAGTGGAGGAGAAAAAATTAGACAAGAGAGTTTGGGAAGTGGAAGGGTATGAATCGAGAACTTTGGAGATGTCAAGAGAGAGCAGAAAATACTGGAAAAGACAGTTATAATAATGATGAATTAAAAAATGGGCTGGGAATGATGGTCAGAACATTCTGGAGGATTCAGAGCGCCCAGCAATAAAAAGCAAATTCCTTGGAAGTTGCATTGTGGTGAAAGAAAAACATGAAGAGTGTTCATGCTGGGGAGAACTTTGGGACTGAATTACATGATTGTTGAGAAGAGATCATTGCTTGGAGATCATTGCTGGGATTGATGGATGTTATGGAAGAAGAGGTAATAAGAGTGCATCTGAAAAGAAAGGATTCTATCTGGCTGGAAAGAGCTTAAGTGAAGGGAGTAGAGGAACAGTATCGGAAGAAGGAAAAAAAAATTCTGGTTCATTTATCTCCCTGAAAGGTGTGAAATTCTGTTCTTAGATGTTCTGCTGTCACAGAAGCAGGATATACAAAAAGGATGAGTGGAATAAGTTACCAAATCCCTTAGAAAGCTGTGGGAAAATGGGTTGAGAGGGATTTGTTGGCTGGGGAAGGAAGAATGGAAACAAACCAGCCCTGATCCAGTTTGGACTAGATCTAGCTAAATTCATAGTCCCAGATAAGTGATTCTCAGAAAGTCATCTGAACATGACCTTCATATCAAACCTGCAGTTTACAAAAACTTCAGCTTTCAGAATGTGAACTCAATTACACGTTGAAAAACAGATAGCAATTTCTTTTTTTTAATTATTTTTAGGAAAGAAATTTTAAAAATGTATGAAACAATCCAGATAAGGCACACTGACCCATCATCATTGTCATTTACTATCAAAGTGCTAAGCCAAACAAATGAATCTTAGATTACTTTCTTTTTCTCTTCCTCCTGTTGGATAAAAATCATCTTAATTTACTCTAAAAACAATTTAAGAAACAACCAGCATTCTTCAGTTAAGTATTAATTTGCAAATTCTTATTTAAGGCCCACTTCTTTTCATGTGTTGGTTCATTTTCCACTTTTCTACAACGCAGCTATCTAAATTAGGATTTTTGCCTATTCACATGACAATCCTACCATAGAACTTTTAAACTATCAATTTATAGCAAAATTTATTATAGAACAGCATTTCTCTCTAAGTGTGAACTGATGTTGTTTAGTTTCAGGACTGATGAGAGACCAATGGATTTTTTTTAATTTCAGATATGAAGCCAAGCTATAAAAAGAAACAGACTTAGAACATAGTAATCTCAAAGTGGAACGCTTTAAACTATTACAAAGTTTAAGGTTTTGTGTTGACTCTGAAGGTTTCCAGATTAATGTAGATGTAACAATATCAGCCTGCTAATAATCCTGAATGCATTCAGAACCTCATGTCCCATTTCTCTTTTGTGTGTGAATGCTTTAATTTACCATTACGGTATTTACAATTTTGGAAGGGGCACCCAAGCTTGGAAGGCAACAGCTTCTGCATATTTGCTTTAAATTAGATGTGGTATTTGTAGCCCATGTGTACGTGTTAAGATCCATTTCCGCAACTTCTGAGTCTAGCAATACTTTGCCACCATTCAGCAGAAAGTTAATGATTTTTGCTGATGTGATACTTATTTTGCTTTTTGTTTTTGTAACCAACCAACTCCATAAAATAATTTGTTAAACATACATACGTATTTTTAACTAAAAAAGTGCTTTTTGCCCTGGCCCTTCTGGTGATATTTCTACATCGCTTTCATGCCTTCTTGATCTCAAAGGCCTTTTACCCCCAAGAAGACAAAGTATGCATACTCCCCACTGAAAAACATGCTTAACTACACTTTAAATCCTAGTTAAAAGACAGTATTTCATACAATTCATTGTAGTTAATTAATGTCAGCCATAACAATTCATGTCTGACAGAAGAACTACAGGGAGGGGATGACTATAGGGTCTCCTTCAACAGAGTGAAGAGACAGGAAATGTGACATCTCCTCTGGCCTTGAGAATCCTCAACTTCATTAATAAATCTTCTCACAATGGTACAGATGAGATCCATACATGACTTTCTTTACCTGTGTAAAAATACATTTAAACCTGCCTCTGTTTTTTAAAAGTACTTTGCAAAATGTGTGATTTAGATCCAAGTTAGCTGTGTTGTGGGTTTCAGTTAAAGACATGACAATTCTTTGAAAGCAATCTTCTCTTCAGCTGAAAAAAAAAAACTTCAGAAAAATATGAAACTATTTAAGAGACAAGTCTCCTCATTAAAAACAAAAAGATAATACAGAGGTTAGAGACTGCAGAAATGCCAACCCCTTGCTATTTGAGCCCTACCCATCATAATAATGAGAAGGGTAAAAAAGAAATAAATGGTTTCCTAGTAGATAGAAAAAAATATAAGTAATTTAAAAGACAAAATTGATTGACAGCCTCTGGAAGAACACACCAACGCTCCCTATTTTTTCTCCACTAACTTGCTGAAAACTTCATAGACTTCTGGTTTCTCTTGTGCAAACTGCTCCACTGTATTTTTCTGCAACCAATCAGATGAGCGCATTTGTTGCTGAAGGAGACCAATTAGATCACCAAGAGTGGAATTCCTGGAGGAAGTTGGTTCCTGGTGGTGAGACACACAGATCTCTTCATCTGTGCTGTCTACTGTGCCTTCTGATTCAGACAGACACAATGGATCTTTGTCTCCATTCAGGATTTCACGTTCTTGTTCTTCTATTACTTCGCAGATTCTCTGCATCCCTGGAAAAATGGGTAGTGGGTGGTGGGAAGTAAGGGAAATAGATAGGATGAAATAAAAGTTGGATGCAGACATTTGAGAATACTTTAATAAGAATAAAAACATGGCCACCATCAGATTTTTCCTTTGAGCTAAATCGATAACCCAGACAATGAACTTACACTGGATTCCATGAAAATCTATACCAGCCACCAACTATCTGTCTTCTAGTATATACTTACAAATTAACCATTCCAGGACTTTTCTATTCACTTAAGTGTTTCAAAATGTGTTCAAACCAGCTAAATAAAATAGGACTTATTATTTCCCAAAGAAGTGTCCATAACTTGAGGGTCACTTACTCCTACTTCTCTGGTTTTAGAATGTCCAACTGTCTTCCATTATTTTAAAAAATAAAGACAATAAAACCAGAATGCAAAGAAGAGCTAAGATGGTAAAAACTAAGGGGGAAAGAATGGTATACCATTCTTTGGCCAACCAAGTTGAATACTGTCCATCAGTTGTGTGCACATCTAATTCTATCTAGCATTTATCTAGCAGTTGTGTGCACATCTAATTCTATCTAGCATTTGATTGTTAATTCCATTTGCCCAGGACTGCAACATCCTATCTTATATGGTAGAAGTTGGATTACCTATTGGGCTAATTTTGGATACAATATAGATGAGGACAGCACTAACCAAGCCGCAGTCGATTCATGTTGTCAGCAAAGACGATGCGGAACCAGCCAGGCTCATTGCACTCAAAAAAGATACCAGGAGAGAGTAAAACCTTTTTGTCCAGGAAGCGTCTCCACAATAGCATCTCCTCTTCTAATGTTCTTTTTTTTAAATACTGGAATCAGTTAAGAGGAGAGTAAATGAGTAAAAGAGACAATCTTTTAATCCTATAAGAAGTAATTGAATCATTCTCTTTCAAACTGCAGAAAATTTAACCCACGCAGGATGGGTAGATGACCTGCATCATCAGATGTGGCATAATTGTAACTCCTAGCAGCCCCAGCCAATAATGAGAGATGATGAGGTGTGTAGTTCAGCAGTCTTTGGAGACCACAGATTCCCTATCTCTGCCCTAGAGAATAAGGGCAGACTGAGAACCAAACAAAAAGGGAAAACCTCTTATCCAAACAGCAACAAAAAAAGAGAAGCATTTTTCTCTTTTTGCAAATATGCAAATATGTATGTAATGCATGTACACATAAAACACACTCACATTGATGAGTATATTTCAGCCATCCTAAACTTGGGGCTCTCCAAATGTGTCAGATACTTAATTCCCACATTTTCAGATATGTATATTTGAGCTACCACTAGTTTTTCCCATTTTTAATTGTTTTTTAGATATTGACTTGATTTCTGTCAGTCCTTTCTTGAGACGAGGAAGAAAATTTCTGGTCTACACAATTTACTCATTCTGTTTCCTACAAAGACCAATCAAACTAGATTATAAAGACATTTTTTTTTCTCCTTTTATTGTCAAGATAAACTAAGTGGAATCTGAAATTCTAGATATAATCAATAGAGAAGACCAGTTACCTTCACACCCTATTTGTAAAAAGAACCATTTATTTTTCCACTGGCAAATAGATACAGGGCATCTAAAGGCCACTGACCTTTCGGAAGTCAATCCATACAAAAAAACCCGCACTGCGGTTGAGGAAGGGAACACCAAGGGTCTTGAGTTCATCTGTCACAAAGGTGTGTGCAGCTTTCAGTCTCTCATGGTTGGTGCGTAAGTATACTTGGTTGATCCAGTCTAGCCAAGAGTAGAAAGATACTTAGCAAAGACACAAAAATGTATTACTGCTTAATTTCTAAAAGCCTGATGGATGGATGGATTCCATGGAGAATACTGCCCTTTATGTAAAATAAGGCAATATTCATATTCCACCTGTTGCATTTGATCTGTGATAATTCATTTGTAGACATCATTTGTCACCTAAATTAGGCCATAGCGAAAACAATGGTCAAGAATTTCCAAGGCTATATACTTTATGTGCTTGAGTGTGAACAAACATGGGTTTAAGTGAAGGGGGACAACATGAGCATGGTTTATTTGTTTGTTTGTTTGTTTATTTAATTTGCTTTATTTTGTCGAAAGTTTACAATACAATAGAAATAAGAATAAACATAAATTTAAATATAAGAAATAGGAACTAATAATTGGGGACAATAGGACAGGGATGGTAGGCACGATTATGCGCTTATGCACGCCCCTTATAGACCTCTTAGGAATGGGGTAAGGTCAATAGAAGTTAATTTGAGGGTAAAGGAGTGGGGGTTTGAGCAGGTGACAACAGGATCAGGTAGTGAGTCCTGATGCAATGTGATTTTTTTTTTAAACCCCAAATTTATCAAATTGGCAATCACCTTCAATATACTTCCTGAAATTCTAGGATACAACTCAAAATTATATGACAGATATATATTTATAAATTAAAAAATAGGAACATCTGTAGGAAAAGTCTCTCCTCAAAAGGAGCAATGAATATAGATGATCCCAGGTAACTCACCTCTGTCTCTGAGTAGCTGGGCAATTTGGTATTGGATAGGCCCACAGACACCATGAAAGTAATTAAAACAAGACACAGCTTTGATAACATGTTGGTTTAGTGTGTACAAGACACCAAATCGGATTCCAGACATAGCAAAATCCTGTAAATGAAGAGAAGAATTAGCAATCCAGCTTCCATCATATAAGGATTGTAAATATTTTGATTCAACCAACATTCATAGTCCTGGAATTTAAGGGCGTATCACCTAAAAAATAGAATAAAACTTACCTTACTAGTCCCCCACAACACATGGGTCCTTTGGGGATCAGGCAATCTGTATGTAAGAAGAAAACTTATATGAATATTTTCAATTAATAATTGAGACTTCTTGATCAACCTTTTCCACTCTGGTGCTTTCTAAATATATTTGACTTCTACTCCCAAAATTTCCAGAGAGAAAGTCACCTTATTTGGAGTCATGGGAGTTATAGTAAAGCACACTTCAAGGCATTAAATTAGGAAAGGTCCATTAAATTAGGACCATCAACCCAGAATTCCAAAACAACAAAGAACATAATTAATAATTATCAATATTGTTAATAGAAATGTTGTCCAATAGGGCCAAATGAATCACCTGTTAATTTTGTGAATATGGAAAAAAATAGAGAAATTGAACTTTTCAAGGTCAACAATATCTCCCCCTCCCCTCTTTTACTGGAAGTGAAAGCAGAAGCTTCAAAGAGAAAGTTTCTGTCAGGGCTATGTCAATATACAAATAATTACATTTTTCCATTAATTGATCCATTCATCAAGAGCAGTTTCATAAGTTCCATCTACTGAAGCTAGCAGTCCAACCCCCTTCCCCCAAAAGGGCCCAAGATCTTCTTCCTTCCTTCCTTCCTTCCTTCCTTCCTGATAGGTGTGTTTTCCCAAGTGTGTTTCAGGAAGTAAAAGGGAGCTCAACTTCTTTACCTCCATACAATTTTTTTAACCACATTACAGAATTTGTTTGCCATTGCCTTCTTCCCAGACAATTGGGTGTCCCTCATCAAAATATTAATCAGAGTTGACCATGCTTAGCTTCTGAGATGAGCCAATTGTGGCTGCTACAAAAATGTGAGAACCATATGAAGTGCGAAGAGAAAGAGCTATTTTCTCTGTAGTGCTTTCTAAAATGAGGAAAAATTTAGATTACAAAGACACCTTCTGAAGCCACAAGATATGCTGATGCAGAAACACACAAAAAATTCCTGTTTTCATTTAAAGAATAGAATATTTTACTTCAAAAAAACAATTTCCACTTCTGAGCTGGAAGGCCATCCCTATCATTCACAGATTGCATTATTTATTTATTTTATTAAATGCATAAGGCTTCTAACTCTACAATGATTTACTAGCATTGGTGACCTTTGCTACTAGATGAGTGAAGCTGTAAAGCAGACTTTACCTGTCCATTTCCAGTACACTGTGAAATGTGGCAGAATCATCAAAAACTGACAGCATATAGATCTCATCAACAATCACATGCAGCTCATGTCTACAACAGAGGAAAAGAGAGGACTTCAGCAGTTGGAAGGAAAATGACTTGCTCTCATGAAATAGGCAAGAAGTTTTCATTCTTTCATGGACAGTCACTATAATGATTGACTAGAAAAGAACATCCATGATTCTAAGAACGTTTGAGAATAAGAGCATCAAGCATCAGCTAATCAAGAACACACTCATTGCTAGAAATTAGGACACAATCTCAACAGATACTACAATCTTCCCATAAATGTTCTGAAACACAAAGCAGCCCACTGATTAGAGTCTGGCTTAACTCTCCCAATAAAAGCTTACAGGGAAGAAATGTAATGAAATTAATGAAATGGAAGGAAATTAGAATTCCCTGCCTCCATGACTATAGTTCCTTCACCCTTGTCGTTGTCTGACAACTGAGTATCTCTTTCTTCCTTGAATTCTACACACACTGTAGATATTGCTCTTCAGTGGCTCTACTCCTACTGAGGTGGATGTTTCAAGATGGTGCCAAATTTTTCACTTCACGGCAGGTGCACCATACTAATTAAACAGGCCTGTTTCCTTTTCCATACTGTTCAAAATCCACATAAAACACTTGAGGTTATCTGTGAATGCAATGTTACAATCATTAATTCTATTCTTCCTGTTCATCAAACTCAACTAGGCTACAGACCATAATCAAATTTTGACCCATCAGATTCTCTAAAACATGTAAGATTGTTGCACCTTTTTGCAAATTCCAAGTAGTCCTGCATCTCTGACAGCGAATAGATATCCCCTAAGGGATTTTGTGGATTCAGGAGAATTAAACCCCTTACTTTGATACCCTATAAAAGAAACAAGAGCATTTAAAAGTGCACGTATATGTGTATATGGGAACTAAACACATTGATATATCAAATACAGCCTCTCAGGAAACCTACTTATTCTGCAGGAGGGTGATTGTGAAAACTGACTTTTTTATTACTAAGTAGCTGAAACATGCAGCTTGATTTCACTTTTTAAATCAGTACATTTTACAGTGTGGTAATTTTCTTTTTATGCATGATCCTTGTGGATTTAAATCCTCCCTCTGAATTAATCTCAAATAAAAGTAGCTGCACCCTTCCTTAGGAGGGCTTTGGAAAAACAGTGCAAGAAAATGTGCTGTAAGATCAGGTCAGGTCTACTCTTCTAGAAGCTACATTTTTCCAATGTCCCTGGTGCCTGCCCCATCCCAGTTAATAAAATTGACTGGGTATGATGAATTCTCATGAGTATTTTAGAGCTGCAGACTGTCTCTATTTCATTCTAGCCTATTAACATTTTTAATAATTATTAAAAGATAGAATATTAAAATATGTTTAATTGATAAACACATTAACACAAAATGCAGAAAGGATAATAAAATAATGCAGGTAATTTAAAATTCTCTAAGCAAATGATCCATACTGGAAAAAAAAAGTCTTTCTAGTGAACTACTTTCATTTTCTAATGGAAAAACAATTATGTTAGAAACACAAAAGGTGGGAATCTTTTCTAAAGCCAATTTCTTTGTCATATTTCATTTGGAAGTTAGGTTAGCAAGAGGGCTAAGTAGGTAGCACTCTGATCTTCATTTCATTCAAAGTCAAACAGGGTTGGGGAAATTACTGGTTGAAGGTAATAACTTTAAAAAAAGGTTAATTCATTCTAAAGGGTTGAAACACAGAATAAGTAAAGTTGCTCCAGTTGAGCTCATATTGCACTTCGCAGCCAAGGTTTAGAAAAATAGTTAAGACTGGAAAGACTATCTTGGCCACTGGAATAATCTAGCAAGAATTGAATGAGCGTAAAATTCACTTCTGATTGGGCATCCTGCAAGGCTTTCCTTAGCTTATCCACGGTAAGCTGGAATGGACGAGTGCAGCTGCCAGTGACCTGAAATATACCAAACAAGAGCTTGAATATTGGCTTTCGGATCCATTGCATGCAACACTAACAAGGAATATTATTAACCAAGGTGGCATCATTCAGACATTCACAGAACTTTGAATCTGCATTGTATTTCAAGATAGATACTTCAGCAAATCATGAAAAATCTTGGAATGCTAATCTAAGCACAAGCATTCTTCTTATCCAGGTCACCAAATGTTTGTATCTCCAAGTCCCTATGATCTATTTTAAATTCCAAAGTTACTCTCCTATCTACTTTAAAATCACACAACATTACCATTAACATTCTGCTAATCCAACCCTACAGAGAACATTTGGTCGATGTGAGAGCCAACCTAACTGGTTACAAGCTTACTGTCCCTATGATCAAGTAATCTAACCAGAAAGCCAAATGGAATGCCAAGAGATTCCAGAAGAGGGTAGTCATTCATATGCTTCCTTACCTGGCTATCTAAATAGGCATAAACCAAGTTGACCTTGCCATATAGGTACACATCTTTGATGATTCCTCCATAGAATGGAGTAGCAATCAGAAACGCTTCTGTAATAAAAAGAATAAAACAATATACTACTGCTGCTACTGACATTTCTTATATTACTGAGGATCAGTTCTATTATTTATAACATCTGATATATATGCCTATGGAGATTCTCAGTCATCCAGGTCATAGTTGACTTCTTCATAGTTTCGCTTCTTGAACGAGAAGCGAAACGTCTTCAAAGAAAAACCAGAAAATCCAGTTGCCTCTTGAAAAAGCACTTTTGGGACTTCGATCTATATGTTGATTTCAGGGTTAACTTTGATTTTGTAGTCAAAGTTCTGGTGGTTTTAATGTCATTTTCACACTTCAAAGACAGAATATACATCCCTCAATGGAATGGAAAAGGATTTTTTTAAATTAAAAAAACTATTCATGAATTCAGTCAAACTAACAGTAGTTTTTTAAGAGCTAAGACAGGGCAATTTTATTTTCAGCTGGAAAAGTACAAGTTAGGTGGACTAATAGAACAGTCTCAAACTTTTTGATTCCAGTGAAAAAGGTAACACGGATCATTCCTCTCTTGCCATGTCAGCAGAGAGAAAAATAGGTCTATCCCAAGAATCTCTTCCTGAGAAGGAAGTGAGCACTCAATGCAGAGTCCATGAAAATATACTGTACACCTTTCTTCTTTTGGATTTAACCCCTAACTCCGTTACAAAAAATCCTCTTGTGATTTCCTAGCTCATCACTTCTAGAGAACATTTAAAGCAGAATAGAATTCAAATGGAAAGAAAAACTGAATTGATAAAGACAAAAAGAATTAAATTTTCTGAAGCCCTATATTCAGATTTAAGATGGGAATATCTATATAAAGATGGGGATTCTGTAGGAGGTTTTTTGCTGTTGTTTCCTACTGTATTCTTGGATGAGTACACATACTAAGTCAAATGTATGAATGTTGTCTCATATGAAGCAAAGCAGAATTTATTAAGTAAAAGAAAAGAAATGAGTCCCATTATATCATATATAGAGGTATACCTACACCAATATTCTTTTTCCACAGAATTCATCTTCTTTTGGCTCATAAATCATTGGCGGTATACAAGTACGGTAAATAAGTATCTGTGTAGTTTGTGGTATCATCACATACAGTAACAGTGTTTATGGAATAAACTGTCATAATCAAGCAGGTAAAAAAAAGGTTTGATGTACCAACCACAGAAACTAATTAATCAAAAGTCTTCTCCAGATCCAGCCTGATGAATGTGAGTGATTTAGTACAGGTGTTCTGAACTATGTTAGACACAATATCTAGAAAAACCTAAGCAATTTCTTTTCTTCTCTGCAAAAAATCCTGCTTTTCTGCCATCTACCAACTTGTAATTTAAATTGCTCCAGCTCACTTACCTCCTGGATCACACAGAACCATGGCCAAAGAGGAAAACAAAGATCCACAGCCATTCTGTAGAATCACCTAGAGAAAAGATATTCAGGCAAATATTATTTCTGGACAGACTATTCTTCCAATGAGATTTCTAGCACCAGGGATTATCCATTCTCTTCCTTCTCTACCATAACTCCTCTTACCCCAAAGCTGCTTTTTTCAAAAGGCAACTGGACTTTGTTTTTCCTTGAAGACGTTTCGCTTCTCATCCAAGAAGCTTAGTGACATCAGAACTGAAAAAGCTTCTTGGATGAGAAGCGAAACATCTTCAAGGAAAAACAAAGTCCAGTTGCCTTTTGAAAAAAGCACCTTTGAGACAACCATGATCTGGATGACTGAGATTCTCCATAAACTCTCTTATCCTGATTTATTTAATATGGTTGAGGAGCCTCAAATAAGGAGCGACAACTTCATTCTTCTGTGGCAGTGTTGCCAGCCCTCCTAGGGTTCCCTTAACCACTGGGGAGCAGGTATTCCACTGGATGCTGAGAATTGCACAGTGCCATCTTGATGTTACTTTGGTAAATGAACAGCAATATAAATATGTTAAATAAACAAATAAATAAACTTGAAGGATAGCCTTTCTTTCCCATAAAGCTTTCTACTATGAATTTGTGATTCACTTCAGAGTACATCCATGGATAGACAAAGGTCATTCTGTGGCCATCCAGTGTGTCTGGATTCAATGTTTAGTCCAAAGAACATTTGGAGTTAATACAGTATTGATTATTGCCTTGGGAATGGTCTAGGTCAGTGGTTGCCAACCGATGGGCCGCGGCTCACTGGTGGGCCTTGAGAAAATTTTGGTGGGCCGCAGAGAAATCTCACCCCCAGAGCACCCCCAAAGCAATTAATCCAGGCTCCGCAGAAACACAAGGCTGCGCCGCCCACATGGCCCATGGGAACCCTCCCTGCCCACTATCTCCTTACCTGGTAAACTTGCCTGCTAAATTGCTATTTTTCCTTTTTCCGACCATCAGCTGTTCTGCTGTGCCAGGAAATTTAGATTAGCTGGGAAGTAAGAAATGGTTGGATTTCTTCCTTTCTAGCTAGTCTTTAGATCTTCGGCTCTGCTTTTAGGCACAGCCGAACCTCCCTTAGGACTGAAGATTCTATTATTCAGTGCAGACTCACAGCAAGCAAATTTTATGTGATAGACTAAGCTAGCTGATAGCAGATAAATAGATCACTGAATGATTCTGTGAGCAACTCAATCTGCCTGCCTGCTTTGCCTGATTTTGAGTAAAAGTTGTTCTTTTTTTAAATAAAAAATTCAATATTTACATACATGGTGTGTTGTGAGTTAATTTTGTGAGTTTGCTTGCAAGCTAATTTTATGTGACAGACTCAGCTAGTCGATGGCAGATAGATAGATCACTGAATGATTCTATGAGCAACTCAATCTGTCTGCCTGCTTTGCCTGATTTTGAGTAAAAGTTGCTCTTTTTTTATAAAAAAACCTCAATATTTATATACGTAGCGTGTTGTGAATTAATTTTATGAGTTTGCTTGCAAGCAAATTTTATGTGACAGACTAAGCTAGCTGATGGCAGATGGATAGATTTCTGAATGAATCTGTGATTCTGTGAGCAACTCAATCTGCTGCTTGCTTTGCCTGATTTTGAGTAAAAGTTCTTTTTTTAATAAAAAAATCAAATTTAGATAAATATTTATAGTATTTACATACAAGCCATGCCCAGCCAGTCACATGACCACCAAGCCACACCCACAAATTAGGCCATGCCCACAGAACTGGTTAGTGGTCCCTGGGATTTAAAATTATGAGTTTGGTGGTCCCTGAGGTCCAAAGGGTTGGTGACCCCAGTCTAGGTAAACAAAACTATGCAGTCTCCTAAAACTGTTGGAACCAATCTTCTTTCTTTATTCCATATCCTCCTCTTCAAAACAAGTAAGTTGCTCTGTTTTTTCATGCCAGGCTTACTGCGGTAAGTTCAGAGTTGATTTTGTAGAGCACAACTAATTCTCATTCATGTGTTCAATTTCAGACCATATATTACACAATTTCCAAAGCATAATTCAGACTATTCAGCAGTTTGCCTAGTTACTGCTTCATGGTCTATTGCTGTCACAACCTTTATGGAGTCCAATGGAGTTTTAAATTTGACAAGCAAAAACAGTAAATATTTCTCACAAATATTTTCCTTCTTTGTGATGACCCAGAGTGTATCAAAGATATAACAAAAACCAAAACATAAAGGTCCTTTAATGCCTTCGATTTGGCTTACTGTTTACTTGTTCACAATTGAAGATTAAACTATTTTCAAAATAACATTCCAAACAAATTCAAAGAGCAGATAACAAAGCAAAAACCAAAATTAAACTGCACTGAATAAAGTTCAATGACATACCAGGATAAATTACAAACTTCAGGAAGATAACAAGGTACAGTCCATTGGAAGAACGCCAACCAAGATAAACCTCATCTAGGAATAAAACACTAATTTGTCTTCAGTGTTTGTTAGCACGCAGATCCAAACTCTTATGCAGACCTCACACCTGCAACCCATGAAGAGGATCATGGCCCTCTTCTCCCAAGTAGACCACATTTTCCCCTGATCCTCTCCTCCCTGTGTGCCCTAGGATGGATAGGGATGGGCCTGGGTCCTCCTCTGACTGCTCAGCCGGCCTCTGCCCTTCCCCAGCCTCCTCTCCCTCAAGAGTCAGTCTCCACCAAGGGCATGACACTCTTCCACTTTGTGGTTTGATATTTAACATACAAAATTATGTGCTGTGTTACTATTCAGGCAGTTTGCAAACTTGTGTTTTTTGTTGTTGGAAGGCAACGCTTTATTTGAAGATAGTGGTAAATTCTAATAATATGGAAAGTAGAAAGGCTCACTTCCACATAAGAAGGAAGTGGGGTTATAAAAGAATGTTTCCAATCTCCATTTCATGATTTGGTATTCTTAAAAAGTAGCTTTGGAATTGAAGCCATAGTTGTTAAAACAAAATTCTTTCTGTTTAAGTACAAGTATGCAAAAAAAGATTCAAGATTAATCCAAGATGTTTAATGGATTTAAATATCTGGGTATTTTACCAAGGTAGAAAGAGGTTCCAACTGAAAATATACCATTAGTAGCATAGAGATGCATGGTGGCTCTTTCTCTTTTTCTCTTTCTTTCTTTTTCTCTCTTTCTCTTAAAAGGAAGAAAGCAAAGGAAAGAGGGAGGGGTGGGAAAAAGAAAGGGAGGGAAGGGAGAAAGAAAGAAAGAAAGAAAGAAAGAAAGAAAGAAAGAAAGAAAGAAAGAAAGAAAGAAAGAAAGAAAGAAAGAAAGGAAGAAAGAAAGAAAGGAAGGTAGGGAGAGAAGGGAAAAAGAGGGAAGGGAAGGGAAAGTGAATGAGATATGGATGAATGGATGAACGGATGGATAGAGGGAGGGAGGGAGGGAGAGAAAAAGAACCACAAACTCTGGCACTAAGCGCAGCTTCAGAGGATGCTTTGAAACAGCACAGCAATCCAGGGCCAGAAGGGACCTCAGAGATCATCTAGTCCAACCTCCTGCTCCAAGAGCTCTCTGAGAGTGTTGAGGTCACTTGAGGGTTTATCTGAATCCTTAGAGCCACCTCTGAATCAGAGTACAAATGGGTGTGGAACCTTCTTGGGACTGCTGAAAGGACTCTGTTGTAAACAGGAGATAGATGGTGTTGTATTCTTCCCACTCTGTTGAAACAGGGATGTTCAATTTTAACATAGATGGCTTCTTTGACCCCTCTTTCAACCCAGTGGTCCTATCTGTCCAGAATGTGAAATTAGCTGTCTTCAAAAAAAGTGACCTTTGTCTCTCAGATGCTGAATCCTATCCTGATGGGCTTGTTTTCCTATGTTGTGCTATTTGTGAAGTGGTTATTTTATTTCCCCAATTACAAATATGCACACATCTCGCAGCATTGCACTGAACATACCACATTACTCAGTTTGTGTCTGGCTATTTTATCCTTGGGTAGATGAGCTTCTGCTTAATGAATTATTGGGTTTAAAGTGTGCATGTATGTTGAATTGGTTGGCAGAAACTAACTCAAGAATACATTAAGCTTGTCCACCCCAAGGGGAAAAAACATTTCTTTTCTCTTTGCATTGCTACAATAGATACATGTGTTGAGAAATTGAAGGACGAGGATGAGAAATTAGAAAACCTGTGACACAAAAGTACAATCTCTATTACCTTCATCATTCTGCAACTTCTCAGTTGCTTCTTTTCCCAGTAACATCCACTTGCTTTCTACACACTCCTAACATAGTCCTCGACTTATAACCATGGTTGAGGTCAGTATTATGGTCATAAATTGTGCTGGTTGTTAAGTGGGTCATCACATCACCAACCCAATTTTACAATATCTTTTTGCAGCAAATCTTATGCAAATGCAGCTATCGTAAAGTAAAGCCACAGTTATTAAGCAAACACTACAGTTGTTAAGCAACCCCCCTTGTTCACGATGGACTTTTTTTGCTGGAAACTGGAACACTGTAAATCGCACCCATGTGACCGCAGGACATTGCAAATGGCCATAAATGCAGGCCAGCTGCCAAATGTCCATAATACAATCCCATGACTATGGGGGTGGATGTCAGAATTCAAATCTGATTTATAAATACTTTTTGGAGGCTCCATCAAAACTTTGAACAGTTGCTAAATGACATTCATTTATTCATTAGTCGGAACCTTGACAGATTGGTTGTTAAGCAAGGAGTACCTGCAGACTTTCTGACGCATAATGGTAGTTACTTGCAGGGAGAAAAAAAAACCAGACAAACCAAAAATTAGGTTGACTTACATTTTCTGCTTTGAGAGGTACAGAGGCTTTGCTGTAATAGGTCAAAAATCGAGCCACTTCTTCTCGCACACTGAAGAAGATACAAAAGCAATTTAAGAGTTTTTCCAAGCAATAGATTCTTTCCTCTCTAGGCTGTATCATGGAAAACACAGATTCAGACTTTCTGACAAAAGAGGGTGAAGATTCATGACCAGGGCTACTTACAACATATGGCCATTCCAATCAGGGTACTGCAGCAAGGAAGGATCGGTGAGTTTCGTGGCACTTTGGGCCAGCTATCAGCAATGAGAAGGAGAGGCCAAAATTATTAAGCACATTGCCAGGAAATGGTCTGGAAATTAGCAAGTAAAAGCTATGAAGGTTGATAATTTCCTTCTTCGCTTGGAAGTTATCTTGCCAATGAACCACACACACTGAGGTTAGGTATGCACATTGTGATTCCTTTCTTTTTGGTTTAGTTGGATGAACTCAATCAAGAGTTGTTTGTTTAAGAAACTACAAGTGTACAACCCATGACTTTGAATAGTATGAAATAGGACGATGTTTTTATTGAGTGATTTAGAGCACTGTTATTTTGTAATTTTCACAAAATATGTATAAAATGCACACATATACAGTGCTTAAAGTACATTGCCACCAATTTAAAAGAAAGCAGTGGCTTTTCTTCCTATCACAATATACCAGGTTTTGTCTACTGTTTCCCTCTTCCCCTTACTCCACAAAGAACCTGGGTTGAGGAATAAGGGACTAAAAAAACTTATTCATTTAGCATGAAACCATTTGTCTGAGGTTCCTGGATGATAAAAACTAGATTGGTATTGTAATTTATGTGTTAACGATGCAACAAATCTCCCTAAGTAGATTTCTCAAAGGTCCACAATTCATAATGAGGGAGGAAGCATATGGTTATTCAGGAAGAGAGCAAAGTCAAAAAGTACTAATACAAACAGGTAATACAATAGAAAATAGTAATATAAGTCTTATGTGACTCGTCTGGGAAATTGTTTTCTTTGCGAAGTCATCATAAATAGCCATCACCTGGTAATCACTATTACTTAAAAATGATGGGTATTTAAAATATTCTTACCTTTTTGGACATTAGATCAAAGCAGAGTTTGTTCTCACTGACAGCAAAATTGATGATGCCCTGGGAATACAGATAAATGCTTCATTAAAAACAAGAAATAGTTGCTATCCTATTAGCTAGCTCAAAAATTATGTTCTATAAAACTTTAGCATTTCTAGAGCCAATAAATATTCTGTCAACAGAGTTCTAGGCTGCAGTTTAGCATTCTACACAAACACAGAAACAGATACATACCAATTCCTTCATTCATTACTCATGGGAGAAAAGCTTAGCTACGCCTATTTTACCCAGGTAACTTTAACATGAATAAAATGTACTTTATATATTTAAGTGCTACTATTTGCTAAGGAAAGATATATTGGTTTATGCTAATTTTTTGCACAAAAGTCCAGTAAGCTAATTTAAATGAGCAACAGTAAGTATTTTTTTAAAAAACTAAAACTAATGGCTAAGAGAGGGTTTGAATCCCCACCAAATCACTTCACCAGTTCAGCTATATTACACAGTGTATACTGATTGCTATGGGAGAATGAACTAAAAGATTAGCATTCTTGTAATGGACTTCTCAGCTAAGAAAAATCTAATTAGTTTGTTTTTTTTAAAAAAACTTCATATTTTGAATGAAGTTTGAAATGAAGGTAGTTATTTGAGGTTTATATAATATAAAAAGATTACACTGGTTAAAGCTAGCATAGCTGATTTTATTGATGAAGGGTAGTATTAATGCTGCTCCAATTTGGATGCCCTTTTTTAATGTTTACCATGAGAGCAAAATGTTTTTACAGTAAGCAGCTCTGAAAGTCACATACTAAGTCATGTACTAAGCATGTAAAATAGTCATGTACTAAGCATGTAAAATAAAAGTTAATTTGCAACTACTAAGTGTTGCTTTGGAGAAAAAGCTAAGAGCTACTGTGAAAATCACTATAGAATCTACACTGACCCTAGTTTTTAAATTTGGCAGCAGGATAAAACTCACTATAATCAGTGTTAAGAACATAATACCAGCAATGAAGGGTAAAATGGAACAAAGAATTCTAAACCCTCATAAAAATAGGTATTTCTGGCAAATTATTTTGTTTACAGACAGGGCATGTATGGTCCTGCAAGCGCTACTATGCTACAATTCTCAACATCACAGAAAGTCTGACCATATTGACAGACACAGGGAGCTATAAGTGAGAAATCTTGGGTGCCCCAATTTTCAACTAACTTAACAGGTCACAACCTAGCCTGGGTCTGGATGGGAAACTACCTGAGGTGAAATAGAACATAACTGCTCTTTTTTGATTTAAAACATTTAGCCATCTATGTAAATCACCTGTACAACAAATTTAGATGCTCATGCCAAGTAAATTATGCATCAGGGTCATTCTGTCTCTTAAAAATAGGACCAAAACTCTATACCATTCCAGATAAATGGTTGCCCAATCTTTTCTTAAAAACCTGCAGCGATGGAGCTTATTTAGAGACAAGTAACCACAAGACATTTTACTCACACTGGGGTTTTTGTCCTCATCATGCTTGTCAGCAAGGTAGAGCTCGTACACCTTGTTTGAGAACGCCGAAGCAACAGCCATATTGGCTCGGACAGAGAGGTAAGGGCTGCTTTGAAAATCAGCAGGGTGGCAGGGAAGCAACCCCTTAGTTACGGTATTCATTCTGGTTTGCCCTAACTTGAGGTCCTTGGCTTCTTCTGACAGCTGTTCTCCTATTTCTGTGGAACTGGAGAATGCTTGGTGAAGGTCTACATGCGGCGCTACTCCCGTTGCGCAAGAGCCCTGATTGTCCTGCTTTAAGATGTTCAACATTTCGGCAAAGACTTTGAACATACGGAAGTCATGGTCCCGTTCCAATTCAAAGCGTCGCTGCTCCAGTTGGATTCGGCGCTCCTCCACTTCCAAGTCTCGCTGGAGGCGGCGTTCCTCCATCTGCAGAAAGCGTGCCTCCATTTCCCGCTGGGCAGATAAAGTCTTCAACAGCAGGGCATCCACAGGGTCTTTTAACCGCTGGCCTTTCCTTTTCTTCCTCAAGCGGTGCCAAGTAGAAAAACCAGGCCATGCCCCTAAACTTTGGATCCGGGATGTAGAAGTTGCATTAGGTTCCCTGAAACCTAAGAGCAAACAGGTTGAAGATAATTAACTCTAACAATTTTTTTGTGTATAAAGGTCAAAGCTGCCTGGATGATTATCTGTGGTTCTCCTTTAATTATCTGACTCTTGACAAACTGAGTAAATGAGTTGCTTCACTAAAGAATATTGAGCAATGGACATTTTTCTTTATATAACAGATAATATATGTTACCCAGACACAAAAATGCAGCTGAATCCCTAGTATACTTTATTGTAAAGTATATCATATTTTACAGTAGCTGGCTTTATTGAATACGCTAAACTATAAATGAGGGGGGGGAAATCTGATTTTGGCTTAGGGTATAATGCAAATCTAGCCACCATCCAGCATTTCTCCTCAGATCAAGGCTATTGTACAGTTCCACATTAATTCAATAAACAAAACGGCTACATGTAAAAGTTGAGAGATAGCCTAGTCTTACCAAACCTCCAGTCATAATTATAAGTGGTTCCAAGTAAAGGATTAGGGTCCAGTAGCAGTTTATTCATAAGGCTTTATTAAAAACAAATCTAAGTTAATTCGTCCACTTCAGCTAAATAACTTCCATCACCACGTGGAGTTCATCCTATAGATTACTTCATGAAAGTTTCTCTTCCAGCTTACATTTTCTGCTGAAACGAAGGACAGAGCCCAATGTATAGTTACGTCTGAATGTGTTACTCTGGATATACTGCACAGAAGCACACTGCCCATCATTCCCTCTATACATCTGACTGAATATAAAAAATAGCATATTGTATGAGGAAGAGGGGCTCTAGCTCCTTTGAACATTTTATAGTATACAGTTCAATTTATGAGTTCTTACTGACAGCACTGAGTCTGCATTTTGTTTTTGATGTCTTAAGTTATATAAACAATCCTGTGATATATCAATCTAGTTCAGGTTATAAACATTTTAATAAAGCTAGTTTGGTTACTGCTAAACAAGCTAATATGATTGGCTGAATCTGTGTTTCCAAATATATTTAACAGAATATAAGTGCCAGTATGAAAAAAAAAATACTTGAAGAACCGAGAATCGTTTGCTTTCTCAATTAAAATCTTTGGTATCATAAGCTATTATATAGAAACATAGAGAGAATCCTGGGATATACTAAGCTCTGGGTAAAAATATTTTGAGACCTCAGAAGGATAAAGGTGATCTCCTAAGACACTGTCAAATGGACAATTCTATCTGAAATATCTATGTCATTTCTACAAGATTCTAAGACCCAATGTCTTCTGACAGGTTAAAACTGATGAAAAAGATAATATTGGCCAAGTAACCATCTTCTTTTATGCATCCCAGTGTTTTGCTCTCAACCAAAAATAGCTCATTTCCTAAATTATTCCATCACCAATCAATCATCTTATGCTGAGATTTTGCTAAAAGAAAATTCCCAAGAATGTTGTTTCCTCTTGGACTAAAAATAAAAGAACTACACCAATCCATAGTCAAAGTATCTTTTGCTTTGACAAAGCCTACTCTGTTCAGGTGTTTCTGTGGATCTGGGAAAAATGAATGGAGAGAACAGTAGCAGAAACTCACTTTGCAACTGCTTATGAAGACTTGAAGGTGTTTAACTAAGTACTGTATATTTGCTTGGTGGAGTTTAAATCTCCAGGGTATTTTTGACTTGTAATCAGAACTATTTGGTCTTTACAAGATCCAAAGCCATTTACTTCTGCCCTGAATTCATTTAAACCTGTTTTAAATATTGTCTTGTCATGGTTTAAAAGTCAAACAGGACACACTAAAACATCATCACATTTCAACATCAAACAGGACACACTACAAAGGTCAGTTTCCAAGCATGCTTCAGTTATTTTTTATTTAAAATATTTTGGATAGGCTTAAAAATATTTCTAGTAATAAAGTTGCTCATCCACAAAACTCATTACCAGAGACTATTTTGAAGGTTGCATTTGCTATTTCATCATTTCACTCCCCCTAATAGGCTAATTTGGGAAAGATTTAGACAGCACTGTAGCGGGGAGCACTGAGTCTGTACTCTATCTCCATCCACTGGAGTCTACCTCTTGCGTGTAGCAGGTGCCATTTTAATAAGGGAAAATAGTGGTTCTTCTTGTTTCACCCAGACTGGATAACTGTATGGGAGGAATCAGGTTCTACAGTAAAGCAGATTGGCAGCAGAAGGAGTTCACAACTTGCTACTCTCTGTCTAGCAGAATAATGAGAATTCCCCTAAGGGCCCCCGGATTCTCCGAGCATAGATGGTGGTGAATAATCAACTCTATAACCAACTCTCTGCATGACACTGCTCAGTTAGCAGACCAACTTCACTTCTTGCACTGTGATCCCATTTCTCTTTTCCCCAGTGTTCAGTTGAAGGAGAGAAAAGGAGGCGAAAAACGACCCCTAAAAATGGTAGAACTTTAAGGAGGAAGAATTGGGGAGGAAAGAAAGATTAGTGGCCGGGGCAGTAGTTTTCCTCTCTTTTTTTTAAGTTTTTATTGCAGGACTCTGGAAAAGAGGATTACAATGGGTGCTGTTCACCTGCTTCCCAACACCCATTTAACAGGATGTCCAGTTAAGTCCTGCAAAAAGATCCAGCCATTTTCCTCAGGGCAAAAGCACTCCAGGTTGCAAGAAGATAGGAGACCTGGAGAAACCTTTCATAATGACAAGCATCTCTGTGGGCAATGAAACCCATCCAGGAGCTGTAGAGTTCCCGCCACCCTGCGTGCTTCTTCTAAACAACCCGGGATTGCGGCCTCTGCTAAGCCATTTTTTCAGGAGCAGGGCAGAGGCTCTGCAGGATGCCCTGAATCGACCTGGCATTCCTACCTGAGAGGGAGACAGTGGTCTCAATGGGGATCTCCACCCTGGAGATGGGTGAGTCAGGCTGGGACCTCTCCAGGAAAGCCCTGTCTATCTCGTGCTCCTCGGCAGAGCCCCCAGGCTGGTAAGTAGTGAGAGAAGGCAGGGGCTCAGGCATCAAGCACTGGTCCTCTGAATCCACCTCCTCGCATTTGATCTCCATCTGCTCCGGGAGCTGGGAGGGTGGGAAGGTCAGCGCCGAAGATGGGCCCAAGTGCGGATGGTAGCTCTCCACCACCCCACCCGGGAGCCCCTGCTGCGCCAACACGTAGCTGCCGTTGCCGTTGCCGTTGGCGCTGTAGACGAGCGGAGGACGGCTGGCCAAGACGCGGTCCATCACCTCGTAGAACTTCCACGTCCTGCCCCCGCGCGGAGCCTTGTTGTTATCCTTGATGCGGCGGTACTCGAGCTTCATTTTCTTGATCTTCTCCCGGCACTGATCGCCGGTCCGGTGGATGCCCTTCTCGCGCAGCACTTCGGCGATCCGGTTGAAGACGTGCTGGTTCCGCAAGCAGCTCTCCAGCTCCGCCTGCACCGACTCGTCAGCCCAGAGGTGCAGAAGCTCCACTACCTCGGGATCTGACCAGTTAGTGCCCCGCTCGTACTTCTTGCCTCGAAAATCCATGCTTCCCCGGCTCCCGATCTCTCCACCGCGCCCAACCTCCCTGTTTTAAGAATCAAAAATCAGAGCCCCAAAGACGCACGAGCGGAGACACGAAAAGCCATGAAGCGGCTATTGCTTGACCCTCGCAAGGAAGCCTTCCCGGGACTGAAACGGGCTTGGCTTGATTCAATGAATTGGCCCTGGGAAACCTAAGGCTTCCCTTCATTGGAAAGGGAAAGGATGAGAAAGATGGGCTTTTTTTCCCCTTTACCCCTTTCTGCAGCTCTAGAAGACGCAGAACGGATCGGACAAGTTAACACGACACGGCACGGCACGGCACGGCTCGGCTACCAGCTCTTTTTTTTTTTTTTTAACAAAGCGAGTTCCCGGGTAAAGCAAGCTGGGGGCGCAAGTGCGCATGTTCACATCCGGTGTGATGGCACATGCGTGCTTCCTTTATTCCGGGATAACTTTAGTCCGTGCCAATCACACGATCCGCAACCCGGCCGGGCTGAGCTAAACGAGGCAGAAGCGCAAGAATGCATTTGGGGGCGGGGTTTTTGAAGGCCACGCCTCCGCAAGACCGTTCCCCCTTGGTAGAACTCGTGCAAAAGGCGAGATGATAGTTTCCGCGTAAGTAGACCGCGGGAGGTCCGTTGAAGTACGTGCTTTCAGTCTCTAACAGTGTAGTACAATTGTTAGAGAGGTGAAATTGCTCTCTTTTTTTTTTCTTACAGCGACTGAACACTTTTTTATTTTAATGTTGGGAAAGCTCCCTTTGTAGTTTTCAAGAGCGTAAGAAGAAGATTGCATCACTGGATGTCGAGCTACGTTTAAGATTGTGTTTACTTGTACCTGCCTGGATGTGATTTAGGCAAAAGACAGGCCGAATGTAAAGACACTGAGTGCATTATTTTGTTATTTTGTTATTGAATTCACAATAACAAATAACCATGAAGATTTACAAACCCAGCAGTTTGGTTTGATATAGCATGCTAAGACACACAAGCAAGCCAAGTTGTGCTTAGGGCTTTATGTGACTTTGGGATTTGCATTTTACACTAACCATACTATGGATGATGTGGTTCCATTAGCGTAATGTGGAATCCTTGCAGTCAATGAGAAAATACATTTGTAAATCAAGCATGATGCCATTTAACACTAGGCATGAGATGAGCCAATGGTGGCTTATTCAACAAACCATAATTTAAAATTTGTGGCTTAGTTGTGTGTGAATCCGCTTTCTAAAAAGTGGCTTTCGCAGATTCATGTATCATGCTAACTATGGTTTGTTTATGAATAAATCACAATTGGCTAAGGTTGCTTGGCAAAGATGGAATTAAAGCATTCCTGAAGCTAGAGGACTCTTGCCTTGATCCCTTGATCAGGGTTTTGTTTTTTTTCCCTGTGGGAATAAAGCTGTTTTTCAGCTACTCCCACCACACATAGTCACATATGCAATTTAACTGCAGTTCTGGCCCTTACACTGTAAATACTTTTATACTTCTAATAGCTTGCATGGGGAAACAATACCCCTTTGCCAACTCTGATTTAAAAAAAAAATTAACTGAGCGCATGAAGTTTCATGTTTTAAACTTAAGAATAGAATATAGAATAGAATAGAATATTGTCACTTTGAATGTTCACTAATCGGCATACATTAAAATGAAATTTCATTGCATACAGCTCTCAAATCATAGCATGAATACAGAAAGAAACAGCATTGTAGAATTATACATATGTTTGAAACAAAACCAACTTGGTTTATGGGTTAGTGCAGGGGTGTTAAACTTGTGTCGTCACGGCAGCGTCACGTGTTGTATCGGGACTTTTCTCCCCTTCGCTAAACCGGGCGTGGGCGTGGCTACCACATGACGCATCCAGCCCAGAGGCCAGGAATTTGACAGCCCTGGGTTAGTGTATTATGTGAACCCAGCCAAGGGTGTTATCAACAAAACCCCATTTGCATTCTAGTTAATATAAATGGGTGCTTCCAAAGGACACTTGGGAAATTTCCTAATCATTGGATAGGCAATTCTACTAAGGATCTATCTTCCATTTGAAATAGGGAGTTCTCAACAAGGTTGCCCCTGAACAGCCTCTTGTTCTTAGCTGACCCCAGGAAGCTCCTTAATTTATAGAAGTCTTCCAGGAGATGAAGCAATGGTAGGTAGATTTGGGATGGAGGAAAACAAAGAGTAAATCTGGATGTGGGGAGCACACATCTCCTTGTCCTCTTACACTTCTCAGGAGCATTCAATAACTCCAATTATAGCATCCTATGTATGTGGGGTCACATTGTTTCACTGGTTTTTACTCTTTCCTGAAGGGTTGGGAACAGTCAGTAGGAGGAAGAACAAGAGGTTAGCCATGGAGGTCCCCATTTGTGGGATCCCAAAGGGTTTGCCGCTCTCACCTCTCCTGGTTAACACCTCTGTGAAGCTGCTGGAAAAGATCATCTGTTGGTTCGGGATGAAATGCCAGTATGATCATGACAACGTTCAGCTATTCATCACCATCCTGGGTTGAGCCAGAGCTACAGTGGAAGTCTTGGACAGGTGCTTGGAAACTGTCCGGGTCTAGAATGGGATAACACCAGATTGAAACTGAACTCAAGCAACACGGAGTTGTTGTTCATGCAGAAAGGGTCTTTTTCACTCATGATAACTATTAAAGAGAGAGCACCTCCCCCTAAAGAGAAGGTCTGTGAATTGGGTGGGTGTCCTGAAGGGATGTCCTGTTAGATTCAGGGCTGCTGCTTAAAAGACGGGTGGAGGCTCTGAATAGGTGCAGGTGACTGTGAAGAGTACCTGGAAATCACAATTGGTGCAAAACATGGAGATTGCAATTGGTACAAACTGCAGTTTATTTGTCAATCAAAGCTGCAAGAATCACGTTAACACCTATGTAACTTTAAGCTACAGTATGTTAAAGTGCCTAGCCGTGGTGGCACAGTGGTTAGAATGCAGTACTGCAAGCTAACTCACTGCTCACTCCAGGAGTTCATTTGATCCTGACTGGCTCAAGACTGACTCAGCCTTCCGAGGTTGGTAAAATGAGGACCCAGACAGTTGGGGGCAATATGCTTACTCTGTAAACCACTTAGAGAGGCTGTAAAACACTGTAAAGCAGTATATATTATAGTAATGCTCTTGCTATATTGATCATTTAATAAGTTTCTGAGTACAATTGAAAGTGGTTGTCTTGACCTATAAAGCTTGGTCTTGAAATATTAATCAGACCTCCTTCTCTGAATAAAGCTGACCTGCCCAACTTGCCCAAGGCAGACTTTCTGCTATCTTTTAATGTGTCCCCCCCATGCCCTACCCCGACATTGAGGGGTTGCCTCTCAAGCAGTGTTTCTCTATGATAGCCCTCATGTTTGGAAACACCTTCCCTTTTGATCTTAGATTGCCATCCTCATTTTTGGCCTTCGAGAAAAAATTAATGACAGACATGTTCTGGAGGGCCTTTGGAGAGTAATTGATGAATAGTATATTTACTGCTTTTCTGTCATTTGTGTATCTGTCATGTTACGTTTGTACATTGTTTTATACAATAATCTACCTGAAATCATGTTGGTTGTATCTTATTGTATAAACACAATAAATACAGGTAGTCCTCAAATTACAACAGTTCATTTAGTGACCACTTGAAGTTACAACAGCACTGAAAAAAGTTACTATGACTTTTCACTCTTATGACCATTGCATCATCCCCATGTCATGTGATCAAAATTCAGATGTTAGGCAACCGACTCATGACGCTTGCAGTGTCCTGGGATCAAAGGGTCACCTTTTGTGACTTTCTGATGAGCAAAGTTAATTGGGAAGCCAGGTTCACTTAACAACCCCATGTTACCAACTTAAATATTGCATTTATTTACTTAAAACTGTGGCAAGAAAGATCATAAAATGGGACAAAGTTTATTGAACACATTTTCTGCTTAGCTGCAGAAATTTTGGGCTTAATTGTGATTATAAATTGAGGATTACCTATATGATTATAGAACAGTTGTATGAACATATTCTTCTTCTACTTCTTCCTCTTCTTCCTCATCCTCCTCCTCTTGCAATACACACATATTTCTCCAGAAATTCTTCTTCAGAAGAAACTAAATTGTAAAGGTCCAAAATACTGGTTTCTAGAGGAAAGGGACCAAAAAACAATTATGCTTTAATGAAACATTTCATGTTGCATGAAAGCTTGCAAACCTCAATGAAAGAAAATAGGCAGTCAGAAAGCTGCACCAGTTGCAAAAGAATCTTGCCTGCAGATGGCACTAAAGCCTCAATTTCTAATCAGGAAAAGCAAGCACAGGACTTCTCAAGCTCAATTTAGAGATTCAGTAAGGCAGGGAAACTGTGACAAGTACAAACTCCACATTTCAAGGATTTGGTGGAGTGCTGTGTCGATGCCGTTGTGTTGGTGCTGTTTGGTTCTCCAAAGTGAATAAGGTTTCCCACCCCCCCCCATAAAAAACAATCTCATTAAAGACAACTCATTTCACAAGTAAACCAATAAATCAAAGATTTACAGATTAACTTTACAGGATTTGATGAGGCATATGAAAACATACAGCTCAACAAACAGCAGCAAAGGGAAACTGCCTTGTCTCTTTGTTGCCATTTAGTAATTGTCTAGACTTTTTACCGCCTAGTCTGACTTGCATTGCTTACAGCTGTGATGGCGAACTTATGGCATGCGTGCCACAAGTGGCGCGCAGAGCCATTTGTGCTGGCACGTGAGCAGCAGGCAAACTTCACTGCGCACGTGTGTGCCTCGCAACTGATTTTCAGCCAGTTTGAGGCCTTTTTTGGCCTCCCAAAGGTTTGAGGAAGGCTTCTGCAGGCTTCTACAAGCTTTGTAGGTCGAAATCTAGCCCTGTTTTGTCACTTCTGTTTTTTTCAGAAAAACAGGAAATGATGAAACGGGGCTAGATTTCGGCCTACAAAGCTTGTAGAAGCCTGCAGAAGCCTTCCTCAAGTCTTTGGGAGGCCGAAAAAGGCCTCAAACAGGCC